AAACATTAAGACAACTTACAGAGAGCAAGAAACAGAGGAGCAACATGATGTACGACTTCAGGCTCAAAGAACAAGACAAGCTCAAACACGATCTAATTTCAAATAAAGATTTGTTTGATTAAAAGCTTTTTTATTTCTCGCATCACAGCTTTTATCTACTTACTGAATAATTCGCTGAAAAAAAATACTGATCTATACATTTCAAATCTAAATTTTCTCCGTGCAGCGCCGGGTAACTCAGCTAGTAATTAAATAAAATGACTTCACAGTTAATGGTTAAACTAATTAGGATCTATGTTACTTTTATGGGAAATTCACAACCTTACAAAAAAAAACTACACTAAAATTAGGAACAATAATAAATCTAACAAAGCAGGCAGTTGTCATATATAATTACAATATTTAGAATTTGATTATCATTGTACTTACATGTGGTTGGATTATTAGGCCATATTTCTTCACTGTTTCAGGACCCAAGATTTTCGGTAAAAATTCCGTATAAGTAATATGTTGCAGCTCAGCCACCACAATATGGCGAGCCTCCTGGAAAAGGGTTTCTTCCCCCCAATGGGGATTGATGTGAGAGAGAGCGTTAGCTATTCGGTTGTGTTCCCTCATCCACAAGGTGTGCATGACAGTCAACACTACTTGTTCGTTCACACGTACGTCGCCTAGGTAATGAGAATATTTACTTGAACTTAGTAAGCTACTAAAAGGTAAAGTAAATACGAATACACAGCAATAATAATTATTTATTTCTTATTTTGTGGTCGTGAACCAACTTAAACTTACCAGCATCGAAACAATAAATATTCCTAGGCCGCGCCATGCAACCGACGTCAGGGTCCACCATTTTCATAGGAAGAAGGTCTTTTAGTCCTAACTCACGGTACAGCGGTAGGGTCTTTAAACGACCTGAATAAAAAATACGTTAAATAACAAAACTAGTAAAATGTTGTATACCTAGTGGATAAAATCAATTTATATGTGGATACGAATTTTGTGTGTACAGATATCGTCGAATTTACAATAACATTTTGATGCACAAAAATTTAATCAGAAGTAAATCTGTTTCGTATTGTTTTAAGGTAAAGATCTTCTGTAGTTCGAACAAATGCTTTAGAAGAACGAGTTTTTTCTCTATTAAAAACCTAACTAAACAAAACTAACAATAAAGCACAGTAATTTAGATTCATTTATGACACTTATTATATATAAATATATGTAAACCGCGACTTCCGAAGGTAGTAAAACTAAAATTCACAACAGTTTAACTTTAAATCACTGATGCAGTTCCTTTGCATGATTTTATTGTATGGTATAAATATACATCAATAAAGGGTAAATTCATCCCTCTTGTCGTAAACTTTTTCAAGTAACCTGGGATAAATGGTGCTGTATATTTTAAGAACAATCAAACTTGAAATAAGGATTAGTTAAACCTACCTCCCCGGTATTCACGTAGCCTACTTGCTACTTTGTGGTTGCTTCCGTAGATGAAATTACCGTCGATATATGAAGATATTTTGTTGATGTGAGAACGAGGACCTGGGTTAATTATCACATGATTAGCTAACAGCCATACAAATAAAGTTTAGATTTAGTTCTTGTGATATAAAGACTAACACAAACGTTTATAAATTGGAATTATGTACACTGAAACATTCGCTTTGTACTTAACTGAACTAGTTGTTATTACACATTTCAAGAGGAACAGCTTATATTTAGAAGATTTATGAACGTGTCGTTTTTACTATTTTTATCTACAATTAATTTTACAGGTGCAAAAGTATTGGTTAGTTCTGTGTGTGTTTGATTACTCAAAAGAACGAAATATACACATACCGAGAGTGCATCCGGGTCTCACTCCTGGTAGGATTCGAGCAAAGTCCATACATTGTCGGTTAAAGAACTTGTAGAAAGGGTCATCGTGTGGAATGTCAATGACGAGACAGTTGGGATGCCTGTGTTCCGGTGGATACTTACAACATTCGATGTCCATTTTGCGCTCATCTAGTGAAAGCCAAATTAATGGAAATGAAGAAAGAATTGTTTTGTTTTTTGTCCAAAGGATACCTATCTTTTCCTTTTATGTTTGTTTGTTTAAATGTAACTTTAAATTTTCTTTATATTATGATATAATAACAATTATAAACACCGTGGTATTAAGAAATATATATATTTTTTTCCAATATGTAAAATCTAACGATGTTACTTAGTTTTATGGAACTGAGCTTGTGACTTACACGCCAGCCACAAAGAATTACGAAACTGTAATGCTGGATTAGCTTTTTTGGAACATTTTTTTTTAATTCAAAACATTTTAGATGGCACTAGTCTTATGAAACATTCTAATGTTTCCATACAACCTTGGTTAGATTAGATGTGATTAAGAAGGAATCTGCCAAGAGCTGTTTGAGGCTTCAATTTCTAGCCTCAATAATGCTTGAACACAAAAAGCGGAATGTCATTCAGGTAAAAAAAAAAAAAAAAAATCTTGCCAATTTCATACAAAGTTCCAAGCAAATAGTAATATCAACAAATATTTTCCTAGTCAAGCACATTAGATTTATATGTTTGCATAACATTATAAACAACAAAACAATAAAACGCAAAAACCGCTTTCAAAATGATTTCCAAGTTGAAACTTTCATTAGAGCTAAAACTTAATAAAATAATGAATAAAACTAGACAAAAATTTCACCGATTTTCGAAGTCTGATAAGAGAGTTGTTTAAAAGTTTTAATCTAGGTTTTTGCCACAAAAAGGTTTACATTTTCTTATATGGATATCTGGAATTGAAAAAATGTATGTACAATGTCTGTCAAAATATATAAATTTTGAAGGTTCGTTGCATCATTGATCTAGTGTTATAGTTTAAAACAACCAACATTTCGGCACAAATATAATCTATTTTGAATTAAGTTACTACGTCAGTTCATTTGCATTGAATTTCTTAAAGGATCCCTTGTTCTATTTATGAGTATATTTTGATCATTGCTGAAGTTCCAAACAATCCTTAGACATTGATAGAAAACGCGGGTGCATATGATTGAATTTTTATGCTTAAAAATTATTTTCACAGAATTTTTTATTTTGTGAATGGTGGCATTTCTTTCATCCTATTAAAGCAAACAAAAAGGAATATAAAGGAAAGTCCTCAGCAAATTAATAATTAACTAAAATGCATGCGAGTATATCAATGAATTTGTGAACCTGGACGGGCACTGTATAATTATTAAATTAATTTTTCATCGAATGAAAATATATTCACCTAAAGTTTGCGCAGCAAAGGTCATGTCGTGGTCAATCATCTGTCCCCAGGCTACCAAAATATTGCAAAGCTGACGGTCATTCTGGCCGACGTCATGATGCATAACAAAGCTGACCACTCGAGGGCTAGGCAGTTTCGATCCATCATGAGAAGAAACACGAGGAGCAGCAATTGCTGAAATAATTAGAAAACCCACATTACTTATGAAGCGACATCAAAATTTCCTTAAGTTGTTGATAACGAATTAAAGTTGTACTGCTTTTCTTTGAACCAGCTAGTTGTAAGGTTGGACATAATCGTTTTATATGTATTTTACTATTTCCTGAACAAGCACCCCCCCCACCTCCATTAAGTCTAGAAGGTTACAATGTTAAATATAGGGTTTCAGTATCCGTGGGCAGACCACAGATAGCCCATTGTGTAGCTTTGTGCTTTACAGTAACCAAACCAAAGTTGAACAAGTCAACTGTAACTAGACGTAAAGCTGAATAAAGTGATCTAAACACGTAAATTACAGAATTGAGGAAAGACAGGACAACTGTTCGTTTCACAAATACATCATTTATTCACGACCATGGCTTCGCCAGTAGAGGCATCATCAGGTACAGACTGAACTGTTTTGTAACAAGGTTTATATATATGTTTAAACAAAGAACAGGAAGTCACCTTGGCATTCACCTAGAGACGAGTGGGGAGGATCTTAAGTTGGTTTGGTCGTTTAGAACTTTTTCTGGATTTCTATTTATTTCTAAAATTTCCAGGCTATCTAGTTTTTACTTTTTTCACAGATATGTAAAATTTTGCAGTTTTTTTTTTTTCTGGATCAAATTGGTGCTTAGTTTCAATAAGGTGGGATGAGGTGGGTTCCATTTTCCTTAATTTCCACCTTCTAGAATGTGCTTTAATTCTCGTTTCTATGGAACGTCTTGTTTGACCTATGTATACACTATTGCAGTCTTGACATGTTAATTGGTAAACACCACTGTACTTTTCGATTCTGTCCTTGTTGTTACATAACATGTTTCTTAGGTTGTTTTTATAGTAGAAGGCTGGTTTGTAGATTTATTTCTTCAATGTGTTACATATTTTATGAGAAGGTTTCCAATGTAGCTCATCTTAAGCCATTTCTTTTTCTTTTTGTTGTCGTTTGGTACAGTATGTGGGTATATTAATTTTAAGCTTATGGCTTTCAATTTTTTACACAACAATGTGTTAATTAACTTTGTTGTATAACTACTGTTAACAGCAATTTGTTTTATAGTTTCTAACTCAGTTTCATAATCTTCAGATGACAAGGGAACAGTGATAAGGCTATGTAACACAACAACTCTGTAAGATATTGGATGTCTTGAAGTATCGTGTATAATAGTGTCACTGTAAGTCGGTTTTCTGTATGCCGTTATTTATGTCAGTATTTAAGTCCATGAATTAATGTTTCCGTTTTCACCAAATTTCATAGTAAATTTAATAAATTTGTTTTGTGAATTTAGAAAAGTTACAAAAGTGTCGAGTTGACGTTTGGATCCTGTCCAGAGATAAATAACATCATCAACATATCTGTATCACTATTTAACATGTTTTGTATTTTTTTCATTACTAAACAAGGGAGAGAGAGGAGAACCCATATCTAACCCGTTGTTCTATTTATATATTTGATTATTAAATTTGAAGTAGTTCTGATCAAGACAAGTGATTATTACTGTTTTTAACTCCTGGGCTTAAACAGAGTATACTTTTTCTTTATCCACTAAATCACTTACAATTTAACAGGTATACTGGTGAAAATACTACAAACGCCAAACAAAATAATTTTGGCGTTATTGGTATCTCTCTTTCGATTTTTTTTCTACAAGCTCCAGAGAGTTTTTTTATACCAAACTTAGGTTTAAAACCAGTTAGATTTATTAAAATATTTTGGGCTTTCTGTGCTAGTTTGTAAGATCATTAGTATAGGAAATAACAGGTCTGATAGGGATATTCATTTTGTGTAGTTTAGGAAGTCTATACAGACGTGGCGAGCGAGGATTCATAATGCTTCAACAAAGATTTAACATTGTTGTTAGAGGATTTTGTGGGGTCTGTGTTTAGGAGCGTGAAACTGTTATAATCAAGGAAGTCGTTGATTTTACCGTGATAATCTTGTTTTTCAAGTACAACAGTCGTATTACCTTTGCCCGCTTTTGTGATTATAAAACTATCATTTTTCATTTTAGATTTCATCGGCTTGGACTCCTCATCTCCATTTTTAGCATAGTTGTAGGAAGAAGTCTGAATGATTTTATGGCATATATTCTTTGTTACAGAGTCAGATTCACCATTAAATACTACCTCTATATCTATTGCAAGATTTTCAGTCTTTTGCACTTCACCTGGTTTTGGGACAGTATTTTAAACCTTTAATTAGTAGATTAGTCTTGTTTTTTGTGAAATCGGATTTCGAAAGGTTTATTAACTTGAGATGAAATTTGGTGAAAACGGAAACATTAATTTTTTGGACTTAAATATTGACAGAAATAACGGCATACATTCCTTCAAGATCTTCGGAAAACCGACTTACAGTGACACCATCATACACGATACTTCAAGACATCCAATATCTCACAGACTTGTCGTGTTACATAGTTTGTTACATAGCCTTATCACTGTACCCTTACCATTTGAAGATTATGAAACTGAATTAAAATATAAAACAAATTGCTGTTAACAATGTTTATACAACAAAATTAATTAACACATTGTTGATTAACCCGCGAATACATTTCGGTAGATAAATGCAAATTTTATATTTTGTTTTTATTATGAATATATTTTGCTAAATTTATTTAGTTAGCTGAAAAATAATATTAGCCCAATGAAGGTAGCCCGCATTAATAAGCTGCGTGATAAATTAATACCTTATAACAGATAAGCTTTAATATTTTTCATATCTTATGTTTCTTATTATTACATTCAATAAATATTATAAGATATGAAGTTTAGCACAAAAACTTGCAAGTAATTGTAAATTTTTCATTTTATGATTAAAACCCAAAATCAATAAATCTAATGTGAAATTGGCTTAGAAAAAATAGCTTTTGATTAACTAAGTGGAAAAAGAAATTTTATGTATGACTATGTAATTTTTATGTTTTAACATAATATCTATTATGTTGATTAAATTATTTCACTTTGTTTTTTTTACTAAACTACATCACCGTTAGCGTCACTTACCGTCTCCGTAGACAGGCGGAACATAACGGATCATTGACGATCGAGCACTTCCCCAAGAAGGATGTTCAAGGTTGTTGCACATGCCGGTCAGTGTCCGGTAACGGCTCAGTTCACATTTCACAGGTGTTAAGAAAGTAGGGCAAATTTCCTTTGCTACTGTTTTGGTTGTGTCAACTTGCGGCAAACCGTTTATTATAACTTCAAACGACAAACGGAACCTTCAAAACAAAAGTAATACTGACTTATGACATCCAAGATGAAATAAATATTATACTCTATAATTTATTTCTCTCCTTTCGAAAGGGACTTACAACGCTAAAATAAGGAGTTCGATTCCACGTGGTGGACACAACAGATAGTCCAACGTGGCTTTGCTCTAAAACAAAAACAAGCAAGCTTTCGAAAAGATAATTAATAAAAAATAAAGGAAGCTGTGGATTATTTTAGCTCTTATATCGTATTTATATTAGGTTAATTACATTTAATTGAAATATGTGAAAAACTACAAATAAAAGTGGCTCAAAAATTTATGAACTTAAAAAATGTTCTAGCTTCAGGTGATGTAGAGTATCATTTGTAATAGAAGAGATAAACAAGGATTGTTTTCAAAATTGAAAAGATGTAAAAAATAAAACGAAATTGATTTATTGTGAATGAATATTTAATGAAACACGAACTTAAAATGATGATTTATTTCAAAGTTGTCTTTAAAATATTTTTCAGTTTGGTTGTAATTAAGCACAAAGCTACACTACGGTCTATCTGTGCTCTGCCCACCATGGGTATCGAAACCTGGTTTCTATCGTTGTAAGTCCTCATACACACCGCTGTGACAATGGGGGGTCTTTTTGAGTTGATTAACAATATTTTTCATAGCCACTGTGAGTGGACAACGTATCAATTTTAAAACAATTGAAACAGAAAGCAATTTTTTTCAAATTTATTTCGAATGTGAATAAAGATAAATTATTTTCAAAAACATAAATTTCTTTTATTATTATTATAATTATATCTTCACGTTAAGAACAGTAATGTTATATTTTGTAGTTTTATTTCTAAAATGCTTGCAATAGCTACGAAGGATGTGTACATACTTGTGAGCCAGAATTCGAGTAGCCTCTTCTAAAACTTCACCTACTGGAGCTACGTGTTTGGCTTCAGGATAGTTAGACGATAAATCATGTATCTGAGGCGGCAATTGGCCTGGGAGAAATGAAATAAGCTTTCAACTCGTTATAAAATAGTTATATCTAACTAAACTTAGGTCTGTAATCAATGAATTCCCATTATGTACATAGGTTCCGTGGTAGTAACTATAGTATACTATTACAAGATCTTTAAAACAAAACATAAATTTTATGCTCGTTCGAAGATACAGTCCTTTGCCCGATAGCTGACCTTGAAGACATAACATGCATACAACAAAAGTAAATATTTAAATCCACCCTTTAGTTTTCAGAGCATCATCCATTCTTTTTTAAACTTGGGTCTCTTATCCTACTGTCTTCAGAATACAGCCCAAATAAATCAGGGGTCTTTATCCTATTGATCCCCTAGATAATTTTTTAAACTTCTATAAGATCATCTTTTATTCCTCTTTTCTCAAAAAAAAAGTTAAGAGATCTTAACCTGTCCCTATAAGGTAACCCTTCCATCCCAGAATCAGTATAGTAAGCCTACTTTGAATCCTTTCCAATAAGTCAATATCTTTTCTTACATGAGGAGACCAAAACTGTACACAGTACTTCCAGTAAGACCCAGCTAGTAGTTTTTATAAAGAGATAATTACCTCTTTTGCTTTGTAATAACTATGCCCATAAACACACCCTAAAATTATATTAGCTTAATTACAGGCAACAGACCACTCATTCCAGGCTTGAATGATTTAGCCACTACTACTGTAACGTCCTTTTGTTGAGTTACGATACAGTGCCACCCACAGCAATTTTCTGGTCTGGGACAATTGTTTTGTTTGCCCCCTCTTTATCACAGAGATTTTTGTGCAACTTTTTAATCGGGTTCTTTTCCCCTGAGCTCTCAACAGTTAGTGCATTAGTAAATTCACCGTGTAGCTTATGCCTTAAAGGCACATTTTTTTGTGTGTGAAGTCAAGTGACAAGCAATCAGTTATCCTTAATTTCAGCATAATTTTATAACTAACGAGCTAAACACTTTGTCATGATATAAAAGACTGTTCAGTGTAGATATTATTCATTTATTTATTTTGTGAGTTAATATTTCATGATTGTTTAATTTTGTTTATAATAAGAGAGTTAAAAACAAGCTTGTTGGAAGTTGTGTTTATAATTCATTGATGCTGAGACTATCGAATATCGCGTGCAATACAATGATGTCGAGAATAAAGATTTCTAGAAGGCGAGCAGACGATTAAGTGATAAACATATGAATAGTGTGAGACGAACAGAAACAGCAGACAGAAAATAGGAAAAGACAGTAAAGTCACAGCCAAGGAAAAGTTCAGCGTGAAGTTACCTGCCGTAGAAGTGATAGGCCTAACGTTTAATATGCTAGAGTAAGACTAACAGTAGGAAAAGAGATAAGAAGAAGAATTCATTCCGTCAAAGCATGGTTCTAAAGTAATTGAATCAGCCTGAGTACATTTTGACAAAAGTAACTGAGGATGTTTTGAAGAAAGAAGACCAAACGATTACCGGAAGAGAATTATACTGCACCACAATTGTAAGTGAATTATACACAGAATAATAGGACGATAGTATTATAGAAAAATAGATAGGTTTGTCAGCTGAAATTCTAAAGCAATTGAATGGGCCTAAAAGGACTTTTGACAACAAGAAGAGAACCATATATAGTGTTTATGATATGAATATAATCTCTATAGTGTAAATAATTTGTTGTAGATGCGTTGAACTTGTTCCTAATATATATATTATTTTGAAAACAAGTGAAGTGTGTGTACTGTTCATTTATCGTTGAATTTATCGCTAACAAGTCACAGACACCTACTGTAAAATAATCCTAAGCCCAACACCAACACAGTATACATTTATACTATTAAAGCAATTGAATGGGCCTAAGTGGACTTTTGACACACTTCCAATAGAAAAACTGATTGCTAGGAAATACCTGGACTAGTAATAAAAGTCTTTAAGAGAAAGTAAGCAATGATAATTAAGTACATTATACCCATAACAATAATTTCAGTTTGGGAACACTTACCATATCGCGTCCGAGCTTCGTGAATAGCACCGTTAATATCATCATAGGTAATGCATATTTCTCCATATCTTGATGAGGCAGCTACTTTTAAGCTGAAATAATATATTTTTTTTTACATAACTTTTCAACGACTTTGTCAATAGATATATGTATATATATGTGTTTTCAAAGTTTTTATATTTCAGTTTTTTTTTCACACACACACCTTGCCAATTTAATTTATAGCTATGTAGATTATTAGCCTTTGCATACACACGCACACATATCTATGTACACACACATTGATCATATACGTAATTAAGCACAGAACTAAACAGTAAGAAGTATATCGTTCTTCATTTACACAAGTGCTCAACTTCTAGAATTGAAGCAAAATCTTTATTACATTGTTAGTAAGCAGCGTTTACATATGTATAGCGCCATAATTATACCGTATTAAAATTGATGAAACTGGAATTGGTGTCTTAGTATTTATAGTTGTGTGCAAGTAATTGATTTTAATTAGCTGATAAACATGTTTAACAGTAACTGATAACCTAACAGGAATTTTCTCAGTAAAGACTGGTGCACAAGTTGTAGGAAACTAAATATATAGAGAAATTGATATAATTATAATTAGGGGTTGATCGCCTCCACAACCAAGAACTGTAGTATAACTGGATCACGTTTCGCCAGCTAAGACGTTATACAGTATAAAACAAAATTAACTCTATCAGAAAGACAAGAATGTTTATGTAATTATCAAAATACAACTAATTTGGCCGATACGTGTATTTAGTATAATGTTTACAGTTATAGTGTATTTTAGCACCTCATGTAACCCTGAACACTGTAACTGGTGTCCATATTAACGTACAGAATATGCTGAACCACTCAGTTATTGACCTTTGATGTGCAATAAAGTTGTTCATTAGTCTGAAAATCAAATTCACGTGATTATCAAAGTTACCTAGCTTTGCCCTTGATGAATAGCAAGGTTGTTCATTGGTGTGAAAATCAGATTCGTATGGTATCAAAGTTACCAGGTTTGCCTTTAATGGGCAACAAGGTTTCATTGGTCTGAACATTTTTAAACTTGGGAATTTGGTGTTCATTAAGATTCTATGTTGCTTCAGAATAGAAAACAACAACCAGAAACTCAACTAGTACCCACATTATTTTCAGAAGTTTAGTAGTTGCAAAGCAAAGCTGTTTTTCTATATAACATTTGTTTATGTTTGCCAAATTTCACTACACAATGAGTACAAGACTTCCAGTTTCTCTTTGGAAAATATTTTCACTTTAGATTTAATAAATGCCAGATTGTTTCAAATAAACTAGCAACTAAACAATCCAAATGAAGTACTTATATAAACTTCTATTCCAGAGTGTATGATCGCGGGTAGGTCTTGTGGTGGATCTCATGACGTTGGAGAAGGCAAGCCGTGCTTGAATTTGTGTGATGCTCCGCACTTTTAGCTCTGGGTGCATTATAAGAGTGATAGTTAATTCCATCTCTTAGCGTGGATGGTAGGGTGTTGCTGACTGACTGCCTTTCCTCTGGTCAGTAGTTCAAAATTAGGTATGGCGGCAGATAGCTTTAGTAGCTTTGGTATAAATACGAAATAGAAATACAACTAGAGATGGATAATGTCATTTAAAAACTGTAGTTTCCTTCTAAAGATCCGAAAAAAGTTTCTTGACACTACTGGAAAGAAGCTATGTGTTATCCACATTATAAAGAGGAATATACGATAACACAAGAATTTTCAAAAAGCGAGTCTTTCTTAAATCTTTCGACACGGGGTCGGTCGATTTGACCGAGTTACGTGACATTCTGTACTCGTTTAAAGTTGACATTAATTTAATACTTATAACTCTATATATTGGGTATATCTTCACGAAATTTGGCAGTCTTTCAGTTAATATTACAAGTCATTCAAATACAAAAAGGCATATTTCTTAGTGAAGTACTTTAATAAAGTAAAATAAAGTTTTGTCCATGAATATATTATTTGTTTTGAATAGTCCGTGTGCAAAGTAATTTTCATGTTAAAATTAAAAATACTTTTCACCATCTCAAAAATCTCAAATTTCCTTAGTGTAATCCCTAAAACCTCCTAAATGCATTTCAAACGTTTTTTTTCACTAAATCCTTATAGTTTATATGTTATTTTCTCTACCCTAGTCTGAACACTGGATTGGTCAATTCGACCGTCCTCGTAACCACCAAAAAAATCGAAATAAACCTAAATTAACCTTCTTTTCTTTCTAGTATGACTTCAAATTGTAACCTGAAACTACATTCGTTTATCCTAAATAGTTCTAAGTTCGTAACATTATACATCTATCTATAATTTAATTAAATTAAATTGAAATATTGTTTTATTGCCCATGAACCGTGTCTAACTGCTATCCGCGCCATTATAAGTTGTAAATCACTGGGGGAAGTGCAGCTCAGATACGCTATCGAATTACATTACCCATCAGCTGCTCGCTTGCGTGCTTCGTGAACAAATTTAATTAATTATTTTTGTTATTACTTATTTTACCTATTCTAGTCTTAAATAACTTAAAATGATCCGCACTTTTAATTTTAGTTACTTTTATAACATTGAAAACGAAAAACAAGAAATAAAGTACTTACCCAATCTTTTTTCTTCTTGCCCTCGATTGTCAATGAGAGTTAAGCCTGGTTTTTAAGTGATTATAGTAAAACACTTAACAATTTTTATTTAATTAAATAATACACCAAAGAATATAGACTACTAACATGCAAAAAGTAGACAAATTCACTTCTAAAATTTTCCTGGCTTTCTAACTTTGTGACAAGAGCCGTTAGAAATCTATCCAAGCTAGTCATTAACTTTCCCACGGGAATGATGTAGCTACTCAGAGTGACATTGACAGTTATCTGTTCAAAACACAATGTTATACAATATGCCATTTGATAGATGAAAACCTTGACTTTCTATTGGTTATAGGTAATATATAATAAAACGTAAGAGAGAACTAGCAACAAATTGTGAAAGAGAGGATGTGACAAGTGGACATGAGGGGTCTGATGTTCTCTTTGATAGCTCTGTAATAAAACAAAATTGAAGGCCATAAGTCTGTTTGAGCAATAACGATGTTATAAAGAGCATTTTACATTTAATTTCGTACATTTTCCAGGGGAGATGGATAAAATAGGGATGATGACATGTAAGACAAAATTTGTCATGTATTACGCTAGTGGACATTCAGGATTTTTTTTATATATTTCCTATT